CGCCAGGGTCAATCCAGGGTCAATATGGGTGCTGAGCCGGGATCGAGATAGATAGATTGAGATCGAGGTCACGCCAGGCGCGAGTCGGTGCAGATGCGGTCACATTACGAAAATCTCACCCGCAGTGAGTCAAGCCAGGCTTGAAACTCTAGTGTGACCATAGCCTATATACACAGGATGTCACACAAGTAACAATCACTTAAATGGTTAATAATAATGATGAGCTGATGTTTAGGCAACACCTAATGAACTAAGACCAAACCAACTTCAAATAATGTATGCATACTATCATATTATACAGTTATGGTCCATTTAGTGTGGAATTAAACTATGACCAATCAACTTAGTGTAAATTAATAGTGCATATTCATAGCATATATCTAATATTATTTATTAATTCTATTAATTAATTTTAATATCTCACATTGTTAATAATTAAGATACTGTCTATCTACTATGCCTCAAGTAACTTGTTAAATATGTCAAGGCTACATAATCTTGATTTTTGTTTCTTGATTTCTTTAATATCAGCTTTCAATAGGAATGGTCATCATCTATACTATTAGTACTCTTAATGTCGTATATCTGTTCATACATACAATAAATAATACAGACATTTTCATACTCGTCTCAAACTACTGTAGTAGTTAAATTAAATAATATCAACAATAAGGTGTTTCTATTCAAACATATTGCACAATGCTTGTATAGAATCCATGTCAACTTACAATAGAATTTTGAAAACATAAACATGTTTATAGCTTTTGAGGGGTGAATAGTGTTGGATTAATGATGTCATAAATAAAAGTATATAGATGCATTCAAGGTTACCAGCAAGGAAACACCAACTCTCGTGGACGAAGAGGCTGTAGATTCCCTTGAGGAAAAAATTCAGTATAAAATTGTCAGCAATACTATTGTATCAGTATGTAGTGTTTTCAGTAGTTAGGATTGCACATGAAAAAAGGTAGGAAGTAATTTTTATGTACGTAGCTATTATAGGAACTGATGTTTTATGGAATGCTTTCCATTTGTTGAGTAGTAGTACACTTTCCGAGATTCTCGCTAATGAAAGAGTTCCCACAGGACCATGTGCTGTTAAATTTGAGCCAGATCCAGATTTTTGTCGCAGAATATAGACAGATTCCGTGATTCATTCATTTTGTTTACAAAAGTGAGCCTTAAATTGTGCCATTTATTTTGTTTAATGCATTGATCGATATTTAGAATCATCG